CTTGGAAGGCAGCTTCTGCCACTTACTAGCTGGAGACTTGAGGCAATTTACGTGGTGTCTCTGCTTCGGTTTCCTCATCCGTAAAATGGGTTATTCTGAGGGTCAGTGGGTCAGTATGTGTTGTAAAGTGCCCAGCATGGGGCCTGTTGTGTTCAGGAAGTGGCTGTTACTCTCAGGTGACCAGCAGTGTCCCATGTGGCCGCCGCCTTGGTTGTGTGGGCACCAGACGGGGCCCTGCTTTCCTTGGGGATGCTGGAGGTGGCTCCGAGCAGCAGGGGCAGGTGTCTGGTGTCCTGCGTGCACCCAGGCACCTGGACAGGGGAGAGCAGACTCGATCATAGCTTCTACAGCAAAGATAAGAGGAGGCTGGCAGGTTTGAGAGACCCCGTCTGCCCTGCCCCCCGCCCCCGGGGACTTTGCTTGGATCTCAGGCAGAAGCCAGGGCTGACCGAGGATTGCTGCAGAGCCGCCAGGGCAAGGGGAGGCGGCCTCCCAGGCCTGGGTCTGCGGGTGGGACGCTGGTGGCAGCGGGTAGGCTTGGGCCCGATGGTGGCCTCTCCCGCTGGGGAAATGGCTGCCTGTTTCCAAAATCTGTAGTGAGAGTTCAGACGATTTTAAACTCTCGTGCATTAAGACTCTCAACCCCCCTGAATCTTTTATTTGTAATTGTGTGCACTGACCTCCGGCCCCCTTTACGTGAGACCCTAGCGTGAGCGTCTGTACTTGAGCTCTCGTGGGAGGGGGTGGGGGGGCACCTGGCAGCAGCTTCACTGCTGTAGCAACTCTGTCCCCAAGCAAAATTAGTGCAATTATTTGATTCAAATAGTTTACTTTTGTAAAAACAGGATGAAAATAAATGAGAGCACTGATATAGGGCTGAGGAATGAAGATCCATCCCAGGGCTGGAGAAGCAGATTTGTAGCTCATAGGACGTAAGACCATTTAAAAATGTGACGTGCAGGAAACGTGTCAAAATTGGGGTGAAGAGGCAGAGTACCCACTCTTTACACTGAGTCTGCCCCCCCCCCGAGGGCGGCAGTGTACAGCCTCACCCCGCTGTGCCCTTCGGGGTCACAGAGGATGTGCACACACCGGCTTCCTTTCCTCTTGGGGACAGACAGTTGAAAAGTGGTGGACTTTCTGGTGGAGTCCGGCAGGCGCAGGGCCTGAGGTCCTCAGGGGGCCCTGTGTACGGTTTCCGGTCGAGGCAGGGAGCAGTGTGTCAGTGTGGATCGAGGTCAGGAGGCCAGTGGAGACGCACAGAGGGAGGGACTGAGTCTTCCTCTGGGACGGTCTTGTTCTGTCCACCAACGTACTAACAGAGTTTGTGGACAGAAAGAAAAACGAGACTGTTAGTAGCTAGTTCCGGGGCAGAAGGCTATTTCTGGGTTGGGGTGACGCGGCTTCCTCCCTTTGTCCGCTCCCCACCTGGCCTCCTGGACTCCCTCAGCTGTGCTGAGGGAGGGGGGCGGGGGAGCTCCCTGACCCTCTGAGCTTGGGAGATGAAGGGCAGAATTCCCAGCTCCTCTGAGCGGCCCTGGGGGATGATCTGGGGTGGGGTTTGGGGCTGTGGTTTCTGCATAGTCATACCTGCTGGCCCCCCGGGAGCCCACCCCCTCGAGTCTATAGTAGCTTCTGTGCATTTCTGTGCAAGACGAGGTAGGGTGTCTTAAAACAACAGAAATCGATGCTCTGGAGCCTGAAAGTCTGAAGGTCAGGTGTCTGCAGGGCAAGCCGCCTCTGAGGGCTGTGAGGGAGGGTCTGTCCCGGGCCTCTGTCCTTGGCTTGTAGACAGCCACCTTTCCTCTGCGTGTGGTGGTCTCAGTGTCCAAATTGCTCCTTTGTATGAGGACACCCATCAAGGGATTCGGGATCCACCCTAGTTCGGTGAATTCCATTTGCAGCCATGCTCTTTCCAAGTGAGGCCACATTCTAAGGCCCCCAGGGGTCTTAGGACTTCACGAGAGGAAGGCGTGCTCTATGGGGCCCCGGGGACTCTGAGGCCCAGCCCTGCAGTCCCTTGGGGAAGAGACAGAGGGACCAGCCGCTGAAAGGCCTGAGCAGACGTGCACGTGCTGAGGGGTCTACTTGATGTCTGATTTAAAGAGTGCTGGCACTGGTGTGACTTTGTGTCCCTGACACTTTCTTGCCCAGCGGCAGTGGCTCCTTTGATTGATCATCTGCTGTGGGCTGGACCTGTCTGTGGCTGTGTGGCTTCAGCAGGCAAAATTTACAGGCTGACCCCAGGCCTCAGTGGGGCAAAGGCGACCACCCCAGGATTGGCGCCCAGCTGGCAGGGCCTGGGTCGAGCTTGAAGCTCTCGGTCTCAAGTCCAGAGCACGCGGGCATCTCTCCTGCACCGCTGCGCCTCTTGACTCGGGGTCTGTGCCGATGGTGTTGCCCGTGGTTTTTATCCTCAACAGACTGTCTCAACCAGGGCCCATCTGTCTGGAGCCTGCCTCCCTGCCCGCAAGGAGAACAAAAACCTGGGTGCACAGTTCACGCTCAGCAGAGATACTCATTCACTCACACACGGGGAATCCTTACACGTCTCCCGTGAGCCCAGCAGGGTCCAGAGGGGAGCACAAAGCAGCAGAACGATACTCGAGAGTGATGAGTGTTAGGTGACCGTGGCAATGGAGAGTGGCCAGGCAGGAGGGGGTTCGGATGAGCTGAAGCACCGGCCAGCGTGGAGGCTCCGTGGCTGGCAGAGGTGGGGAGGAGGCGAGTTCCAGGAGGTGAGCTCACAGAGGCGAGGCGGCCGGGGCATTCAAAGGTGGAAAGGAGTTTGGTGTGGCTCTGTGCCAAGGGGACACTTGGAGGCGAGAGTGTGGGATGTGCCCAGGTCACTTCCGGATTGGCAGTGGGTGCTTCGGGCGGGGAGGGTGGCGGCTCGCCTAGGCCGTACAAAGGAGGGGGTGTACAGAGTGGACTTGGGACACACTGAGGACTTGGAGCCAACGGCACTGACCTCGGATTGGAGGGATTGGGTGTGGGGGCGTGGTGAGGAGGGGGCAATGGAGGCTCTCACCTGGAGGGTTCCTGGCTGTGCAGTAGTTAAGACGGAGAACATGGGGTGAGTGATTTGGGGGATGGAATTTGGAGGTTTGCTGCTGCTGCTGCTTCTGCATCAAACCGTCTTGTTCGGCAGCTCCTGACACTTTAAAGACTCAAGGATCTCGCAGGCCTCCAGTGTGCGTGGCTTTGCGGAGGCTTTGGGCCTTCGGAAGTGGGGTGGGGCAGCCCAGGGGCTCCGCTCTCTTCTTGGACCACAGACCTGCTGCTGGGGTCCCCTGCTTCCGCTGCCTCGGTGGCCAGGGCTGCAGGAAGATGCTTTGCTGCCACCTTGTGGGCAAGAGGAACCTGTGCGATGTCGGGGCCCCATGTACCTCAGGGACCATCCCTGCTGCAGGGAGAAGGGTAAAGCCTTTCCCTGCCCTGCCCACATACACCTCGGGATCAGCAGGAGGCCAGCCCTCCCCATGTTGGAGAAGGTCACCCGCAGCTCCCTGTGGGTTGTGTGACCTCAGCTGGGCACACCTCACCTTATCAACGGATCGTCCAGCAAATACGTGAGTGGAGACACCAGGGCAGGTTCTGCTGGATTCCTGGGCCCGAGGCCTCCTCTGCTCTGCTTGGGGCCAGCGTTCTGTTCCCGCGGTGCCTGCATGGCGTGGCAGGCCCTCGTACCCAGGCTGCCCTGATGCAGTCAGCAGTGCCTTCCTGCTGTCCCCAGACACACAGTGACGCACCCGAACAGGATGGCTTTGACCTAGAGTAGAGTCTTCCCAGTCGCCGGCACTCAGAGCAGAGGGGCTGCACGCACAGTGCTCCGTCCTCACCCGAGACGCGCGCCTCAGGCTTTGCGATATGTTGCATCTGAGTCCCTCAGAAACGTCGGCACCCACGCTTGCCTCCAGCCAGTGGGTGTAGCTTGGGGATTCTGATGACCGACCGTGGACTGCCGTGTTCAGTGGAACGGTGTCGGCTGCTTCTCTTTGCAGCAGTGTTGTCCTGCAGAACTGAGACCCCGTCCCCAACGGGGGCTGCTGCAAGTGAGGAGGCACTGTGCGTCTGCCCTGCTCTCCTTTCCTGGCTCGATGTCCTGGGACATTGGTGGGCACGTGGGCTGGTGCCCTCCTCCACGCCTGTCTGCCCCCCAGGAGTGGTTTCTGGGAAGCAGGGGTGGGCAGGGGGCAGCTCGCTGAGGAAGAGAAAGCCGTCGGGTTTGGCGACTGGCCAGTGGGCCTGGGCCGACCCCACAGTGGGAGTGGGAGCGCGGAGCTGGTGTGTTCTCTGAGAACGGGGACATCCTTTCGTGCTGGGACCGGGCACTGCCACCTGTCTTCCCTGCACCGGCAAGGGTGCACGCCCTGGGGGTGGGGGAGGCTTCCCCCTCCAGGCTCATCCTGCCACCCCCACCCAGAGAGCCAGTTGGAGTCCCCTCTTGGGCACCTTGTTCCCGATCCCCCCTCTGTCCCGGAGGGCTCCCAGACTGCCGTCCTGGGCTTGCGTTTTCACTGGCTTGAGAAAAGGGTCGGCGATGAGCAGTTTTATCCTTGGGGGGATTCCCTGGGTGTGTGAGAGACAGACACACAGATGTGCCGATAGGGAAGTCGAGTGTGGGAGTTTTAAACTTGGAACCGTGAGTCAGGATTCCCGGGTTGAGTTTTAGTCTCCGCGCCTGAAGGTGCTCGGGAAAGGCCCTTCAGCGGAAACACCTGCTATGAGACCACGCACCGAGAGAGGAAGCCGGGGTGTCACTGTTCACAATGAGTCCCGAGAGAACACTTTGCCACCCCCAGGGTCTCTTCCGTGATCCGGCCCGGGATTCGGCAGCGCAGAGGATGGAGAGGCCCTGCCCTCCTCAGGCACTGCCCCACTCCAGCCCCCTCTGGAATGTGCTGCTGTCCCCTTGCGCTTTGCATCTGGCCAGGAGCGTGGGGTTCTGAAGCTGAGAGGGAGGTCGGGAGTAGGGTTGGACTGGGGGTGGAGGAAACCTGGGAGCATTGTCTCTTTAAAGGAAAGTACAAGCCCCTCATGCTGGCCGCTACCACAGCTGGCTTCTCCTGCTCTGCCCAGGGTCCTTGTGGATTGGGGTGACCTGGCCCTGGCTCCTGTCCAGGGCCTTAGGGGAGGACCGGGGAGAACCCTGCATTTAGTGACTGTCTGGTGCAGCCCTCACTGGTGAAATTCCAAGGGGCCTGAAGAGAGTGAGCGCCAGACTCCAGCCGGTACCGCAAGCTAACACTTCACCTCTGCGCGGCCAGTCAGCCTCCGGACACCTCTGCACAGGAGGCGAGACCCGAGAGCAGCGGACCAGGGGCTTCAGGGACTCCCAAGTTCAGTCTCTTACCCAGAACTGTATGGTCCAGGTCCAGGGCTTGCCTTTGGCTTTTCTGCTGCCCAGAGGAAGGACAACACTTTACCCAGTCTAGAGGACTTTACAATCAAGGACGAAGGCCTCAGTCATCAGCACAACAGCCGGCTCCCCTATAGCATCCAGCAACCCCCCGTTTTTTGAGCGTCCCAGCCTCAGGACGCCTGAGCCTCAGTAAAACCAAGACAGGACCGCCCTGCTCAGGCTACCCATTTTACAGATTAGAAGACCGAGGCCCAGAGAGGGCGATGAGTTACCTTCTGATTCCTAGTTTACACTTTCATTGATTCCGGTCCCGGGGTTCCCCCTTCGGTTCCTTCCTTTGGAGAGAGCCCACTTCTGTCCAAAGCTGGCCCCAGCGTGTGGCGTGCGGAGAACTGTTATTTATTTGGCCTGCTCTTAATGACGGCGCCTCACCTACCTGCCCCAATCCGAGGAGGAGCCCTGGGCTGGAATTTCCTGTTTTCTGAGGGTTCTGGGGGCTGCCCCAGCAGGCTGGTTCCCTGGCGCCGCCGTTCCTGGGTGTTCCAGGCCAGGCTTGCTGCCTCTCTCTCCTTGCTGGGCTGGCTTCCCGGCCTCTCCAGGTCTGGGCTTGCCCCTGCGCCGCGGAGGAGTTGTGCGACTCAGTCGACTGACGCCAGGTGCTCAGAGGCCCAGAGGCCGGAGGTCCGTGCGCTCCGGCCGCGGCCCCGGCCCGGGCCCCGCCCCGCGCCCCTCGCCATGGGCCTGGCCCTTGCCCGCGGGCCCTGACCATGGAGCAGGGCTGGCCGCTGGGGGACACCTACAGCCGGGAGCGGCCCGCCGTATGCCGCCGCGCCCTCAGCGTCTGCGACTCACTGGACCTGCAAGGCGCCCCGGCCAGCCGCGCCGCCCCCGCCCTGCAGGCTGCCGTGTATGCGGGGCGCGAGCAGACTGCAAGGCCGCGGAGCGTGTGTTCGGGAGGCCCGGCGCCTCCGCCCACCGGCGCCCGCAGCCTGCTGCTTGGCTTCCTGCGCCCGCGCCTCGGCCGCCGGGGCCCCTCCGACGGCCGTCCACCGGCCCCTGGGCCTGCACCCTCGGAGCGCCTGGGCTCGGCTGCACCCAGCCCTGTGCCCAGCCCCAAGCCGGCCCTGCGCGGCCACTCCCGGGGCAGCCAGGCGCCGCGGCCACGGCCCACGAGCATGACGTTCCTGGAGGTGAACCGCCTGGAGCTGGCCGAGGCCGAGGCCGCGGGCGCCGGGCTGGGCCGCGCTGGCAGCGCCGGCTTCCTGCGGGGCGCCTCCTTGTGGAGCAGCCAGCGCTGGCAGGTGCTGCGCGGCGGTAGCGGGCGCGCCACCCCGGGCCCCCGGCGCGGCCTGTCGGCCCTGAGGAAGAGCTTCAGCTTCCGCCTGCGCCGCGGCCAGGAGATCAGGCGCGCGGAGTCCGGGCTGCTGCCCCGGGCGCGCACCCGCAGCGACGGCGACGCCAGCTCCCTGGGCACCTTCCCCAGCCGCCGCGACTTGCTGCTGGGCGCCGAGGCCCCTCGCGGCGCCCCAGAGTCCGGCCGACCTCGCTCCGCCGCGGGCCTCTGGAAGCTGCTCACCAGCCGCTTCCGCCGGAGGGACCCCCCGCCGGAGCCCGCACCCGCAGAGCCGTTGTGGAGCCGCCGGGCGGCCATGGCCCCTGGGCTCCTGGGCGCGCCAAGCGGTAAGGGAACCAGTCCGGCCTGGGGATCCTTTCTGGTTGGAGTCTGCGCTGAGAGCTGGTGGGAAATCTGGAACCCACCTGGGAGAGGTGGGCGTGCGGTGGGGTCAAGGGGACAGCAGGGCTGCCCAAGTAAGGTTGGTGATGCGTCCTGGAGGGTGGCCGTGGCAGAGGGAGGGCTTGCAGGTGGTCCCTGTGCTTGCCCTGCCCCGGGGCCTGGAGGAATGGGAGGATGGAGCGGAAGGCCTCTCTCTGGCTTTTGGCACATGCAGCACGGAGGCCTGGGGGGTGAGGCTGCAGGCGCAGGCTGGCTCTAGGTGGGGCTGCGACTCATTTCTAGCTCCCGGGCGGCCCGAGCCCTCCTCTCTAGCCGTGAGCTTAGTAACTTCTTGTGGACCTGGTCCCTCTGTGTGCTAACATCTTGGGGACAGCCTGGGGTCGGGAAGAAGGATGGCCCGGCCAGTGTGTGGGATGGCTGTCACAACCTAGACATAAGGAAGGTGGTGCAGGCCCTCAGAGGGCTTGGGTGGCATGGAGCTCCCCATCTTGGGGACAGTGCCAGGGTCAGACCAGCTGCCCTGGTTTGAGAGCAGACTGAGCAGCAGGGAGCCTGGGAGGCGGGTCTCTGGGGAAGAAAGGGTGGCGACCTCCCAACAGGGAGGAGCTGAGGGCGGAGTGCCAGTTGGGTGGGGCAGATATCTCCCCATTGGACCCACCTCCCCGGCCCAGAACCCGGCAGGTGAGGGCTCCTCCCTCTTCACCCTGGCAGGAATGTGGTGGGTGGCCCCACCCTGCACAGGGCAGCTGTCCCTACTTGCTGTAGGAGGTTGGCCCCCCAGCTGCCAAACGCCCAGCCTGGCTTGGGACTGGGCTGAGACCTGCCGGGACTGCCTCTCCTCTGGGGCTGCCGTCCGGGCCCAGAGGGTGCCAGGCCGGGTCTGGCTCTAGGTGGGAGCTCCTTAGCTCACTGGGGCAGTGAGAGGAGGGACCCAGGTCCAGGCCAGGGGAACGAGCCTGCGTCTCTCAGGGACCTCTTCCTGAGACCATCTTCACTCCGTTCCACTTTCCTGCTGCTCCCTGGGGGACAAGGGGTGAGAGTCGGGGTCCCCTCAGGACAGCACTGTCCTCTGGCCTTGGCCTAGGAAGGGGCAGTGTAGCAGACAGCTGGTCGCAGATGGCACAGGTTCGGGGGCCACCCAGCCCTGATAGGCAGCCTTCTATCCCACAGACTCGTTTGTGAACAGCCAGGAGTGGACCCTGAGCCGCTCGGTGCCGGAGCTTAAAGTGGTGAGTGAGGCAGAAGAGGGCCGCCCCAGCCCCCTCTCTCCTCCGGGCCTCCCCCGGCAGCCCTCCTGCTGGTCCTTCTCAGTCCTTGCTGGGTTTTTTTTGCCTTTCCTGCCCCATCACCTCTCTGGTGCCCTCTGACCATGCTGTCGCCCCTCCTCTCCCGCAGGGCATTGTGGGGAACCTGTCTAGTGGGAAGTCGGCCCTTGTGCACCGCTACCTGACAGGGACCTATGTGCAGGAGGAGTCCCCCGAAGGTGAGCGTCACAGGCCGGCCGCCGCTCTCCTTCCCTCCTGTCCTCTGTGCGCTGTGCACAGGGCTCCAGCCCCTCTCCCGGCTCTGTCCCGGCCCCCCCCTGGGAGGCTGTGCCTGCCCTGTCTGCGAAGCCCCGCAGGCGTTTCCCCGCTGTGGGCCTGACCGCTCACTCTGTCCTAGGGGGTCGGTTTAAGAAGGAGATTGTGGTGGATGGCCAGAGCTACCTGCTGCTGATCCGAGATGAAGGCGGCCCGCCTGAGCTCCAGGTGAGGCCCCCGCCCAGCCCTGGCCCTTCGCGTGTGTTGGGAGAGAGGCGCGGAGCTCCCCCGTGACCAGGCGAGGCTAGTCATTGTGCGCGGTTCCCCCTAGTTTGCCGCCTGGGTGGACGCGGTGGTGTTTGTGTTCAGCCTGGAGGATGAGATCAGCTTCCAGACCGTGTACAACTACTTCCTGCGCCTCTGCAGCTTCCGCAATGCCAGCGAGGTGCCCATGGTGCTGGTGGGCACGCAGGGTGAGTGGGCTTGTGGGGCTGGAACCCCCGAGGGCAGGTCTGAGGAAGCCCCGCCCCCTTCCCCCCTTTCCTGGCGCCACACCCACCGCTCTTCCCCAGTTACTTCCTGCCATCCACGTGATGATCGGTCCGCGTTTTTGAGATGAATTAGCTGAGAGTCTGGCTGGTTCTCACTCAGTGAGTCGGGGCAGAGCTGGAACAAGGCAAACGCCCGTGTCCTCGGGCTCCCTGCCCTCTGCCTAGAGGGCCTCCCGCCCGGCGCCCTGACGGCTCTCAGGGCTCGGCTCTCAGGGCTCCGGGGGCCGTGTCGACCACCCCCTCCCGCCTCCACAGACGCCATCAGCGCCGCCAACCCTCGGGTCATCGACGACAGCAGGGCCCGCAAGCTGTCCACCGACCTGAAACGCTGCACCTACTACGAGACGTGCGCGACCTACGGGCTCAATGTGGAGCGCGTCTTCCAGGACGGTAACTCGGGCGCCAGGCGGGCCCTCTGGCCAGCGAGTGGAGCTTTGTGCTCTGGGGAGGGTGGCCCCGCGCGGGGCCTCTCCGTCCTCCCCAGAGGGGTGACTGACTCTGCTGTCCCCTGCAGTGGCCCAGAAGGTAGTGGCTTTGCGGAAGAAGCAGCAGCTGGCCATCGGGCCCTGCAAGTCACTGCCCAACTCCCCCAGCCACTCGGCAGTGTCCGCCGCCTCCATTCCCGCCGTGCACATTAACCAGGTGCGGCCCGCCTCCCCGCTCCCCGCGCGCCCGCCTCACCTCAGCCCTGCCTCACCATACTGTCTGTCTGCCTGCGTGTGCCCCCTCATCTGGTCTCCCACCGCGCGGACGGTTTGAAAGCCCTGGCTCGAGTTTCATGCAGCCTGTGCGGCTGGCCTGGCCTCATCTGCAGCCCTGTGGTGACTTCTTGCTAGTGCCCACCCCGCTCGCCCCCCCTCACCCTGCAGCCCCTGCAGCTGAGGCGGCAGAACATTTGCTCTGGTCAGTGCTGGCCGGGCTGTGTCAGGAGCCGCTGCCCATGGAGGGGACCCAGGAGGCACAGGGGCATTCTTGGAGGCCTGCAGGGGACCAGCCCCTGGCAAAACAGGGAAGTGTGGGTAGGCCCTTCTCATGGTCAGTGTTTGCATTCAGAAGGGCAACGCTTGCCTCCAGGGGACCAGGGGCTTTTGTGCTGTGTGGGGTATCGGGGTGCCTCTGAGCCTGGTCCTGCCAGCATTGCCCCCATAATTCCACTTGGACACCCCTCCAGTTCCTGGCCTAGCGCCTGGCTATTTTTCAGGACACGGACCGGAGCGTCCTTCTAGAAGTGCGGTCCTCCTTTCTGTCCCCTGCTCTGTAGGAAGCCCGGGGCTGTCCCAGGGGGGCCCGATGGCGTGGCCTGGCAAACAGCCACCCCTTTACTTCTGCCAAGGGCCTGCCCTGGCCATCGCGTCCTGTCGACAGTCTTGCTGCTTTTTCAGAGATGCCTCCCCTTAGCATTTTAGAAGGCAGCCAGGTTTGCCCTATAAGTGTCCCAGGTGGAGAAGAAGAGGAGGGACTTAGACACAGGTCTTCTTTTGCTGCCGGGGCACAGCCCCTTCGCCCCTTGTGCAGGTTAGGGTCTGCGTGTGTGTTCCCAGCCCCGGGTCGGGCACTGGCGTGCACTCTCCCCACCCCACCATCCTGTCTTCCCTTCCTCGGCCAGCTCAGTCCCTATCCGTCACCGCCTCTGATAGCGGACAGAGCTCTGCTCTCTGCTCAGCCTCAGCTGTGCCACGTCCCTTCCCCCGTCACACACAGGCCTCACTGGCTAACCTCACCCTCCCCAGCCCCTGAGCCCTGCACCAGCCTCCTGCATCCTTGACATACGTCACTGACTTTGGGGCACCCAGCCAGACTGCCCCATGCCACACTCACCTGTTAGCCAAGACCCCACAGTCGTCCAGCTTCTGCCGCTGATTCTGACTTGCTGGCCATTGCCTCTGATGAGCTCCCTGGTGAGCACCATTGGCAGCCCCGTGCAGTGACCCCTGAACTGCACCGGCCTCTAGGCCTTGCTGCCTGTCCCCTCAGCCCCGTCTTTGGGAGCCAGTGGCCCCTCTGCTGCTCCGTGAGCCCCAGGCCAGGGAACCCCACCTGCTGCCTGCTCTGCACCCCACCCCCGAGCCGCCCTCAGTAGCCCTCTCTGTCCTTAGGCCACGAATGGCGGCGGCAGCGCCTTCGGCGACTACTCGTCCTCAGTCCCCTCCACCCCCAGCGTCAGCCAGCGGGAGCTGCGCATCGAGACCATCGCCGCCTCCTCCACCCCCACACCCATCCGCAAGCAGTCCAAGCGGCGTTCCAACATCTTCACGGTATGTGCCCGTGCCCGCCCCCCACTGAGCAGCCGCCTCTCCCCTGCAGGCAGGGTCCAGCCAGGAGCAGAGCCAGCCACGCTCTTCGTCCACACAGACACCCAGCTCAGGAGGCTCTCCTGGTGCCCGGGCCCACAGCCAGGCCCTTCCAGACGGTTCCCCCGGGCCCACCGCCGCGGCCCTCAGCACATCCACACGGCCCACCTGCCCCCCCACGCCCCAGGGCTTCCAGCCAGGGCTTTGAGGGATCTTTGGAGGCATCTGCCCTCGCCGCCCCGACTCCTGTCATATCGAAGTCGTGCACCGACACAAAGCGCTAGCAGCAGAGGGGGAACCAGGGCCCAGGCTCCCCGTCCACATTCTACTCTTTCCCGTTACCCCACGCTTCCTCCCCCTGCTGGGGTCGGTCTAGTAAAGCATTAGACACCTTCTCCAGGCCTGCGGCCTGTGCCTTGCCACCCCGCCCTCAAGCCCCCTAGGCCAGTTCTCCCCCTTTGCTGTAGACCTCACAGGGGCCCATGTGCCGCCCACCGCTCGGGGCCCCGCCCCTGAGCCCTTAGGTGTCCTGAGCCTCCCGCCTGTCATGCCCAGCATCTGGCCTCTGACACAGTGTCCACCCCCAATGCTCCCCCTCCAGCTGGGACTTGGCTGGACCATTCCAGGATCTTGGGTCACAGGTGGGTGAGCTGCCGCGTGTGTTCTCAGGAGACCGCCCTGTCCTTCTGCGTCACTCCATGTGCCTCTTGTGGGCGGCCAGGCCGGGCTCTCGGCCTGGCCTTGTGTCCTGCCCTCCCGGCCAGGCCCCGGCCAGGCTCTCAGGGACCAGCCCAGCAGATCCAGCGTCCCCAGGCCTCGCCCAGTCATTCGCGCCTCTGCCCCGCCCGGCACACTTCTGCCCGGTCTGCCTGCTTCCGTCCCCTGTGCCTGCCACGCGTCCCCTCCCTGTCCATGCTGACCGACCCTCTTTCTGCTGACAGCTGCTGCCACGCCTTGCACTTCCCAGTCCCCAACCATGCCTAGAAGCTTCTCATTTCTTTCTGTTCACGCCCCTTGAGACTCACAGGGCCTTGGGCTGCCTGCTTATACCCGCACCTGCTGCTTCCGCTGCCGCTGCCGCCGCTGCCGCCGAGCCCTTGGGTGCCCATGTTTGCGGTGACCGCACCTGCTCCCTCGACACCATTCTTAACCCCCCACCTTCCTCTGCTGCTTGTCCCTCACCCTCTGGACACGCTGTCCTCCTCCTTCCGCGCCACGCTCAGCTCCCGGCCTCCTCGCCGCGGCCCCTACGCACTCCCCGCCTCGAGCCCTCCGCTGCCTGCCGCGCTGTGCTGCGTCCTCCCGCTGTCCTCCCGCGGCCCCTTCCATCCGCTCCATCTTCCCGGTGGCGACCTTATTTTTCCCTTCCATTATTTCCATGGTGACCTCACGTGCGCCATTGTCCCCAAGGCGGCCTCAAGACATGTCTCCCGTCTCTAAGGGTGCATCTGGGGACCTCCCCTCCCCTCCCCTCCTCGCTGGTGGGGCCGCCCCATCCCCCTCATCGCCTGCCCGGTAGAGCCGCGCCTGCTCTGGGGATGGCGCCCTTGTGGCCCCCCCACCGACACGGCTGTGGACATCCCCAGCCACCCCCATGACGTCATGCACCTGTTTTGTTGCCACTCTTGCTGCGTTTCCTGCCCTGGGGGTTCCCGGGGATCCTCTGGTGATGGGGGGCCTTTTGGCTCCCAAGTCTGCCTGGGGCAGGCTGCACCCGACCCCTCCCTGCAGTGGCAGTCCTACCCACCGTCCTCCCCAGCTCGGAGGGGCAGAGGCTGTGGTGTCCAGTGGAGACCTGGGGCAGGCGCTGCCGGCGGAGCTGCGGGCTGGGACCCTGGGCCCAGTGCTCCCGGCTCCTCGGCTGAGGTCCCCCCCCAGTGCTGTAGCCCTTTGCCCCCTCCCTGTGCCCCCAGCTCCTGGCAGCCTGGGTGCACAGGAGGGATGTGGCGCCCGAATATTCCCCACCGGCTGAGATGGCCTGCCGGCCGCCCTGCCACCTCCTCTGCCTCCTCCTCCTCCTCCTCCTCCTCTTCCTCTTCACCTCACTGCTGCCTCTCCCCAGGCACCTGGGGCTCTGCCCTCACCAGTGCTGACCAACTTATGCGGGGCTTGAGTATAACTTGCCAAAATCTTTATTCTTTCGATATTTGCAGATATGTGCCACTGTTTCCAACTTTTCATCAACAAAAAGGCCTTTCCAACTCCTTCCAAATTAGAAGACCAGGTGGTGACACACAGCACCTCTGGACACTGTCCCCTGTGCGGGGCCGGAGGCGGGCCGGGCCCTGGGACTGCTCTCAGATGAGACGCGGCCGCCGTGCTCCCCACTCCAGAGACCCACGGGAACCTTTGTCACTAACCCCCACCCCCAGGGAAGGCTAGGAAGCTGGAGCCCAAGGCCGGGGGCTGCCGGGGACCAGGCCCGGCTGGACGCTGCGCCAGGCTCGCTGCATGGACAAGAAGGGAGCTCGGCCCCACGCCTGCCCGGCAACGAGGCCCAGAGGGGCGGGGCGTCCGAGCGCCCGTGGCCCAGCTACTCCTGGGGGAGCTTTCCCGCCCCTCCCCTCCTCTGCTCCTTCCTGCATGGACTTCTGCGTTCCTGCTCCGCTCTGGACGCCAGCACCGCCTCGCGCTTGCCTTTCCCCCTCTTGGCCTCCCCGTTTCCTAGGATCCGCACTGGGGCGGCTCTGCCCCAGGAGCCTGGCAGGGGCTCGGGGCCTTTCCTGGCCTCTCTCCTCTCTCTCTCCATCCACTGTGCCCCTCGGGCCACGCCGATGAGCTCGGCGCAACGTGCCATGTGGTGTCTGTGCCGCAGGCGGGCCACTGCCCGCGCACTTCTGGACTTGGCTGTCCCTGGTTGTCGTGCCCTGTGCTCCCAGCCGTCCCTCAGTCCCACTGTCCACCTCTCCTGGCCCCTTGCCTTCTCTTACACCCCAGCCCCTTGGGCTGCGCGCCTCTCACGCCCTTGGTATTTCGTGTCCTTGCTCTTTTGTAAGGGGCCGTCCCAGCTCAGTGACCTGTGCTGCTCTGTATGGTGCCGTGTGTAAGAATAAACCCATTGGAATACTCTCGGTCTCCGTTCCTTCCCGGTCCCGCCGCCCCGGCCCTGCCCTGTTGCTAGGGCCTGTCCAGGCCGAGGGAGGGTGGGTGGGCTGGGGATTGCAGGTGGGCAGCTGTCCCTGCACCGGCCCTGGGCCCCTTTAACATGCCTCTTCTTTTCTCTTTCAGTCTCGGAAGGGTGCCGACTTGGACCGGGAGAAAAAGGCTGCTGAGTGCAAGGTGGACAGCATCGGCAGTGGCCGGGCCATCCCCATTAAACAGGTCAGCACCCCCTTCTCCCCTGCTGAGGGAGAGGAGCCGATAAGGCCCTGGAAATGCTAGAGGATGCTTCTTTTCTGAGCCTCTGTGACAGGGGTCTTGGTGGCAGCAGCGGGCGCCCCTCCTGTCAGGTCTGAGGTTCTGCCAGGAAGGAGGAGACTCTGGGAAGGGTGGTCAGAGTGGTTATTGCCCGTTTAGTTGGGCGACGGGAGCGTCCTGCTCTCCTGGCTTTGCCTGTACTGCTTCTCCACCACCAGGGGGCAGCAGAGAGCCGCCCGCTGTCCTCCGGCGCTCTCGGGAGACCTGGAGGGGAGACCTGCTCTGCCAGAGTGCTGGGTCTGGGCTGTCTGGCCCAGAACAGGAAGAGAATTCGCAAGAGAACCCTGAGTACCCGCTGATGGGCAGACCGAGGGCTGGTCTTCCCCTGGGTTCTGTGACAGCCTCATCCCTGTAAGCCTCTGTTTATTTGTAAAGAAAAAATTTGGTCCAGGTGTCTCTCCCGGATTCCTGTCCGAGTCACTGCTTGGCAGGGCTGGCGACTGGTGACTCGGATGCCCCCAGGCCTCGCGATGTGGGTCCCCTTGTGGGAGAAGACATTGAAGGATGGGGGCGCCCGTGTGCAGAGGTGGTGGTGTGCCGGGCAGGGCTCTCGAATTGCTGGCTGGGCAAGGGCAGCGCCAGGAGGTGTCCCCTGGACCTTGGGCAGGAGGCAGCGGGCTGAGGTGCCCGTGAGGCTGGGTCTGTGGCCCGGTGGTCAGTGTGCTGTGCCCACAGGATGCTGGGCTTGGCAAAGACCTTCTTGGGAGCTGGGGGAGGACGTGTCAGGTTCTGACCAGAACCCCAGAGATTGGTGTGGCCCGGGCCCAGCTGTGGTCAGGCTGGGGCTGGGCCCCATGAGCAGTGTGACTGGAGCTCATGGGTGAAGGTCCACTTAGAATGGACAGCCTAACACACCTGTCAGGTCCCAGGAGGCAGAATGGGGACACCGAGTGGCTCTGCGTCCTTTGTTTCTGCTTCAGCCCTCCCCGAGACGTCCCCACACTCCTGTCTGGCAGGCTCAGCTCTAGCTGGGCCAGGGTGCGGACGGGGGTGGGTGGGGGGGGGCTGAGCAAGAGACCTGAGCACAGCGGCAGCAGCCAGTCTCCCATTGGTTCCCACACACCTGTTGATTGGTGCCTGATCAATCACCTGTCTCTGGGACTGAGCAAACCCACCACCTCCTAGTGGGGTCGGGGATGGCTGTTGGTAGGTGGGGTGGATGTGCTCACAGAGAGGACTGTCTCTCCCTGCCTGGGGGACAGGTGTTTCCGGAGTGCGTGCGCACATGAAAACCGTTAATAAAAAGGGTATCCCCAAACCCTCCCCATCTGGCGTAGAGGTGCCCGGTCTTGCGTCTGGGTGATGTATCCGTTGCCTGATCCCCCGTGTGGACGGAGGCAGGAGCTGTGGGAGCGGAAGCCCAGTGCAGGGGCACCTGTGGCTCTGGGCTGGGCCAGGGGCAGTCAGCTAGGTCGCCTGGGTGCTGCAGGTCGCTAACCTTCAGGGCTCCTGAGTACACTGGGAAGGATACTGCGGGCAGAAGCTCAGCACAGTCCTGGGCCCTGGGTCTCCCTGCCCGCTGCAGGCAGGAACCTCAGGCCGGAACACCAAGGGATCATGACTCAGGGGCATTGGCTTCTCCCAGCCCGTGGCCATTCCTTCTGGTCCCACCTCCCTCTGCCCAGGGCCGTCCACCCTTCTCCCGCCTGGTGTCCCGTTCTGCCGACGCCGCTCCTTCCCCTCCCCCCTGCTCCTGCTGGGAGTGGAGATTGCATTTCAGTTGCCATTTGCATTCCCAATCAATCCGGACTCCGCAATTAAGCCGGCTGGCGGAGCTGGGAGGGAGGCGGCGGCGGGAACGGGTCCTCTGGGGGCTGTCGCCTCCGCACCGCTCCCATTCCGCCCCAGATTGCTTCCTGCTCCGCCGTGCGCAGCCGGCCGGCCGGGGAGGGAGCGGGAACCCCCGGAGCTCCTTCTCCCTACTTGGAACGCCCGGTGCGCGCCAGGCTCGGGCCGGCAGGCCGGCCCTTCTGGCCCAGCAGGCCGGCCCTTCTGGCCCAGCGTGGCCTCCGTCCTCCCAGCGCCGAGCGGCCAGGGGGCGGGGAATGGGCGGTGGTGGGGCCGCTCTGCCCCGCCTCTCCGCGAGCTCAGCCACGCGTTGCTCCTAGGCCCGGGTTGCGGGCTCCTCGGCGCACCACCGCCCTTCCTCTCCCCCCAGCCCAGGTGAAGAGGGCGGGCTTGGGGCAGGAAAGTGCCCTGCTCCCCCCCCCCCCGGGGCAGGACTGCCCTCGGTGAGACCGGACACTGAGGCCCACGGACACGAGTTGTTGGATGATAAAGACTAGTTGGTGGCAGAAGGGGGAGGTGAGCCTGGCTTCCCTTTCTCCTGAAGGAATCGGGGCAGGACCCAGGAGGGAGGGCCTGGTGAATCTAAGGGTTTGAGAGCGGAGGCCACTGTGGCATCCCCCGTGGAGGGGGAGGTGGGGGGGGCAGATGCGGAGCTGCGGGGGAGCGGAGGCCATTTCCTGGCGCACCTGGGGCGTGTCTCGGCCTCGCTTATGGGAGGGGCCCCAGGCAGCCATTCCTGGCCTGTGAGGGGTAGGTGCCGCACCCAGAAGCTCCCTGTGATGGTAGAATCTCTCAGGCTGATGAGGGGCCAGGACATGGACGGGTCCTCAGAATGACAGTCCCCCACACCCGTTCTCAGGTGGGTTCACGTGGGGCGGCAGGAGGAGAGGAGGGAGGGAGGAAGAAGGGGTAGCAAGGATGTGAACTCTATCGAAAGGTGGGAGAAAGATGGGAGGCAGGTGTGGAGGGCTCTTACAGCCACCTGGGTGCCTGCCTGGGGAAGGGGGAGATGGGGCGGGAAATCCCAAACGACCTGTTGGCTAATCTCCTTGCTCTGAGCCTCCTTTTGAACTTGGAGGGAAGGTGTGATGGAATCTGGGCCCATCGCCACCTCAGGCCACAGCCACCCACCTTCTCATGCCTGAGCCTCTCTGTTTCTTGTAATTTATTGATTTTTTAGAGAGAGGCACACCCATCATTTTGTCCCACCTATCCATGCATTCATTGGTTGGTTCCTGTATGTGCCCTGACCAGGGATCGAACCCGCAATCCTGTAATATCAGGACAACGTTCTAACCCACTGGGCTACCTGGCCAGGGTATAAATGTCTTTAAAAAAACATTTTTTTTTCAGTTACAGCTGAAATTCAGTAATATTCAGGGCTCAGCACAAATAATGCCCCTTTTATTACAAAATCACAGGTATGTAATTCTGTGATGTAGCAATATCACACTCAGGCACACCATATGACATTTCAGGAGGTGAAACGTTCGAATTGCTGTCCGTCTCACGCGAGAATTCGCGTGTCCTACCGACCCCACTCCAGCAAGCCTTCTGCTGGACCCTGAATGGTTTTCAGGTGTATAGCACAGCTGTTAGGTATTTATATACCTGACAAGTATATACCACGTGTAATTATACCATTATTGACCATGTTTCCTATGCTACATTTTTACATCTCTGTGACTGTTTTTATGAACCACCTCATCTTTTTCATCCATTCCCTCCAACGTCCACCCACCTGGTAAGCACTAATTTGTTCTCTGTATCTCTAAGTTTGTTCGTTTATTTTTTTTCAAGATTTTACTTGTTTTTAGAAAGAGGGGAAGGGAGGGAGAAAGAGAGGGAAACATCAATGTGTGAGAAATAATTGGTTGCCTCTCACACATCCCCAGCCGGGGACCTGGCCCATCAACCCAGGCATGTGCGGTGACTGGGAATTGAACTGGCGACCTTTCAGTTTATAGGCTGACGCGCAAGCCACTGAGCCACATCAGCCAGGGCTTAGTCTACTTTCTTTTGTTAGATTTCCCTTTAAGTGAAATCATCACACCTGAATCTCTTAATCCCTAGTTTTCTATCTTAGGGCAGGGCCCTCGCTTCCTGGAGTAGAAGCTGTTACAGTGTCTCCTCCTTTCTGACACTCACCGGGATGGACTCAGGGTGCTTCCCTGCTCTCCCAGCCGATGTGAGCCCTAATCCGTCCCTGTTTGCCCCCAGTCTGTGGCTCTGTGTGGCTGTCCCCATGCAGTTTTGTCCTGGCATCTGCAGGAGCATGGTCTCAGCCGTCCCGAGGGGGCAGTTGGGAGGGAATGCTGGTCCTGCGGGGTCTGCCACCTGTATACCATCATGGCCATCCTTGTCCCCCCAAGTGCAGCTTTTGTCCTCACCCGCGCTCTCTCGCAGTCTGTTTGAGGGAGAGAGTCAGAGGCAGGGGAGGGTGTCTTCAGGGGCCGTCACTGGAGGAAGGCAGCAAAGGCTGTCCCTGGGTATGGTCGAGTTTTGTCTTCCGTCTTTCAGCCAGTCCTGGCTGGCTGCTCCCCACCCTGGCTGTTTCCTGGGTGTCTGGTGTGTTCCAGGCACTGTCACAGTGCCGAGGGCATCCACGAACAAAACACACCACCGTTACTGCTCTCGTGAGCTCTAATCCATCCCCAGGCCACAGGGGAAGTCTGGTTGCTGGACTCAGTGGCCGGGGGTCCCCGCTGTCTACCTTGTGGAGTTGGGCATTCTGGGGACAGTGAGGGGATTTTCTGCCCTCATCTAGGGCCATCGTTGGGGGTAGAGGGCCAGGGCCCTCCTGAGGTCTCTGTGCACCTGGAGAGGCCCAGGCAGGAGGAAGGGGAGGAAGACAGCCCCTGGCGAGGCGGCCCTGGGGGTTGGCACCGGTCCCTGATCCAGCCTCTGTCCGCAGGGCATCCTGCTGAAGCGGAGCGGCAAGTCCCTGAACAAGGAGTGGAAGAAGAAGTACGTGACGCTCTGTGACAATGGTCTGCTCACCTACCACCCCAGCCTGCACGTGAGTCTGGGGCCAGGGCCGGCCCTGGGGGAGGCCGAGGGCAGAGGCAACAGGGACAGAGCGGAGGGGCTGACTCCGGGGCGGAAGGGGAGCAGATCTCAGTGAGCTCAAGTGGACTCTCACTTGAGCTGAGGAAGGACCGCACTTTGGTGGCTTGGGAACTACACAGACCCCAAGACCCAGGCCCGGGCTGAACGTCACACTCAAGCTCTGATCGTGGCCACGCCTGCTGGAGAGAACTCTCCCTCCGGGACGGTGACCCGGGCTAGGCTGGTGTGGGCAGTCGGGCTCTACGTCCTGTGTCCTGCCTGTTTGAAGAGCTTAGTGGGTCCCACGTACCCAGAACTGCTACAGCTGGGGGCGCTGATGGTGCCAGCCAGGTGTCTTCAGGGCAGTCAGGCTGGTGGGGGCACCCTGGGCCTGGGATGCTGGAGAGCTGGGGGGCAGTGACACCGGGTCTGTGGAGAATGGCGCGGGGACTTGGATGGGCCCCCTAGGGAGGAGGAGAGTGGGGTGGCGATGTGGTGGGTGCCTGGCCTTTGGCTGGGGTGGGGGGTTTGCAGTGGTTGTGGAGTGAGGCTCCCCGACCCTTCCTTCCCCCCCTCCCCTCACTGCGTGGCTCCAGCACACAGCTGTCACCAGAATTCATCTCTGTCACCACCCCACTGTGGGGCTAATGAGTTCTCCTGTGAAGCCCCTCAAGCACAGCACGTGGGCCAGCCCCACCCCCGGCCCAGAGGCCCAGGGCCTGCCTCAGAGGGCCCCTTGCCTGCCTTTGAATCCACACAAGGCGTCCAGGAGGCCCCAGCCCAGAGGTGCTGGGGTCCACGGTCCTGGCCAGACGAGGTGCTGAGGGTGCCACCCAGTCAGCCCTGCCCTGCACACGCAGAGGAAGCCTGGCCTGGGGGGAGCCGCAGGCAGCCGCTTTCCAGCCCGGCCAGCGCCCAGCTTGGCCCGTATTTGATTCCTTGGGCACCGACCCTTGTTCCCCTCGGCCTAGGGCACAGTACTGGTTAGACTGTCTGCTCCTGGCCTCCCTTATTCCACAGGGTGGGAGCTGTGCTGGGATACCTGGCAGTTGGAGGGGCCACACTCGGGTGACCTTGGATACTTAGTATGAGGGCTTCCCGAGCGCTGTCCTCTCCCCAACTCCGGCCTCCGCCTGACACTCAGACCTGGTCCCACTGCTGAGGCAGTGACACCATGAGAGGCGCAGGTTCCTAGGAAAAGCGCTGACACAGAGGCACAGGTGTCTCCAAGTCGGGGGCAGCCTGTGGGTACAGTCTGTCCCAGACAGGCATTGGAACCGCAGGGTCCCCCAACCGAGAAGGGCCTGGGGGCACTGTGCCCACGCCCAGGCTGGGGCTGAGCCCCCACCGGCTCGTCCTAGCCGCCCCCCAGCCCCTGGCAGGAGCCACCTGCTCTTTGTGGAGGCACCATCTTGCCGCTGAGCTGAAAGTGGTGTTTCTGAAGCTTCCCGTGTGTGGGGTTGGGGCGGGGCCGTAGCCTTTCCCCTTTGCTTCCTTCCTTCCTTCTTTGTGTTGCCTTTGGTGGGCGCTGCACTCCGCCCTCTGTTCTTGTCCCCAGGCCCCGGATTGTGGGGAGGGCCGGGGGAGGGGAGGGGCGGGGATGGGGGTCTCAGACACGGGAGGAGGTGCAGCTTTGGTTCCGAGTTTGGGTTTGGGTTGGGGGGCGGTGAAGGCGGGACAGAGTGCTGTCTTCACACAGACTTAGCAGGCTGCCGAGCCAAGGCAACAAAGACTGGGCCATCAAAGTCACCTGGCCCGGGGCTGGCTCTGAGCAGTCCCTGGAGTTTTCTGCACTCGCCAGGAGTGCCTCGGTTCACACCACTGCACTTGGGGGGCTGAGAAAGTCGCTGGAGAGTTAGCACCGGGGGCATGCGTTGCCCAGACTTCCTGTCACTCAGGGAGGTGGGCCGGGCTGGGTGTCTGGGCTCCTGCGAGCCCCCAAGCCCCTTCAGCACCACGCTCTCTGAACTGTGTGTTGCTCTGTGTGTTCGGGAGCCTGGGACAGGCTCACAGGTGGCTGGCTCAGGCCCCAGCTGGCCGGCCGGGCCCGCTCTCACTCTCCTGGGTGCAGGACGAGGTTGAGTGGGCAGCTCCTTTGAGCACCAGGGCTCCCCGCCTGTCAGCTCTTCTCACTGTCTGCCCTTTGGCTCTGGGGTCACAGTGCATGTCCTTCCCACATACTGGATGCCAGGAGGAATTGGCACACGCAGACGGTGGTGTTAGGCACACGTGCCCTGTAGATGCTTCGTCTCATTCAGGAGACACGGACCAGATTCTGAACCGCGGTAATGGAGGAGGCCACAGGAAGGCGAGGCCAAGGGCCCCCCACGTGCGGCTGTGTGAACGGGGCTGAGTGGGCTCCTCGCAGAGGCTGCTTCCCTTGGGACTCCCCACGTGCGTCTTGCTTTTCTTCCTTGCTTGCGGCTGGGCTCAGGTGTTGCTGGCTTACCTGCCTCCATCTCTCCTTTTCCAACTTGAGCAGTAAGCTTCTCACGTGCCCGCAGTGAGCAGGCAATCTGCCTCCTGGTGAGCCGCCCCTTTCGGGTGCCAAGCAGTGGAAGGACTCTTGGGAACTCCAGCGGTGTGCACAGAACTCTCGGCCTGCCTGGGTCGACGGCTCTTGCCTGAGACTCACCTGCCGGTGACTCACTGGCCGATGGAGGTCGGCCGGGCTGGAGGGGCTGGCGGGGCTGGCGGGGGAAGGGCCGGTGGGCAGGCCTCGCGCCCGGTTCTCGCCTGGCCCAAGAGAGCCCGCCACAGCCTCCCCCATTTTGCAGCCAGCGGAGCCATTCGCACAATCACCTTCTGTTAATTCTATCTGCAACATCAATTAAATTGTTTGTAGAAACTAATTGAATGTGGCTTAATCACACATCTTAATAGCTTTCCACGCTCTGAACTCGTTGTTAATTCCAGTAATAAAACGAGATGAGAACGCTGGCTGGGTAATTAGCGAGGAGGCTGGGGAAGAAATTGCTGTTTGATGGTGGGTAATAAAGGCAGCCGTGGTGACCGCTCTCCGGAGCAGCCGCCACTGCCGCCGCCGCTCCCCGTTCTGCTGACGGAGGGAAACGCCGCTGCCGCCGCTCCTCGCGCTCCTCGCCACGCTCCTCGGGGCTGGACTCCGTGTCTTGGCGGCGTGGCCCTGGACCTGGCCTGGCACTGGGCACGCGGCAGAGAGCCTGTGTCTGCCAGGTCAGAGGTGCCAGCAGGGCCAGTCCTTCCCCTTCTGTCCGGGTCTGGCTCCTTGGCCCCGAGTGGGGTCCCTCTGTGTAGCTCTTGGCGTCGGGTCAGCTTTCCCTGCCATGTCCCAGCCCAGTCATCCCAGGGCTGTCATGGGTCCTGAAAACTGGCAGCTGCTGTGACCTCCTTGTGAACTAGAGCAGCCCAAGTCCCTCCCCAAGGAGAGGGACGGCAGTTGGGCTTTGGCCCAGCCAGCTGTTGGTGGTTGTGTGCAGGGACCCAAGACGAGTACGTACAGGGACTTGGGGTAGGTGTGTACTGAAGCTGGGTCAGTGGGGCGTCGGGGCTTGAGGTGGGGAGGGCAGAGACAGTGAAGTCACACGTGGGACGCTGGCCTGAGAGCGGGACCAGCGGGCCAGCGGTGACTGGGCGGAGTAGGCTGAGTTTGTGGGAGAAGGGACAGAGGTGATGGGCACTGGGCAGGCAGCAGAAGGGCTCCTGGGTTCGTTTCCATCCCTGCCACCGTGGGAGGGATCAGCGCTGGAGACAGAGGCCTGGCTGCTCTCAGCAGAGCTGGGTGCAAAGGGTGCCCAAGGGGCGTTCCTGTGGGTGGAGACTGCTCAGGGACATCTCAGTGACATTCTTCTCTGGTTCTGAGGCATGAAGCAAACACCCTTAGAGCAGTGTGTGCCGGAGGCCAGGCACCTGGCACGGTCCTCACAGCGGTCTAGGCGGTGGCAGGGAAGGGCGGGTGTCTCTTTGGACACCCACTTCTGGGAGCTCTTTCTCCCTCGGCTGGCCAGACCCCTCCGGCCCTTCTGAAGGGAGGCCCATCTGCCCCTGAGGGTGTCAGCTGCTTGGAGAATATAAGGCGACCACAGGCGCAGCCAGGCCTCCCTGGAGCTGGACTTGGGTGGTGGGGCCAACGTGCTGGCCTTGGTGGCACCCCTGCCTCCCCATGGTCCTCCCACTGGTCCCCATCCTTAGTGACATCCAGCCTCATGAGGAGGTGCAGGAGGGAGGCTGACGTTGGGTGCTGTTTCCACTTCTCGCTCCTCCTCTCAGCCCAACTGCCCCGTGGGAGGGAGGGGCTAGAAGGGGCCGGAGCTGCCTGGGGCCCACCTGGCAGACGTCCGCAGTCTGCAGGGACCAGGTGACCCCTTTCCACTTGATGTCCTCTCGGTCATTCCCAGAGTGATGGCAGCGCGTTCCCAGAGGCAGCATGTCCATCTGCTTTTATAAGCAGAGGACACTGTCACTCTTTCCTGAAGCTAACAGGTGTGAAGGTGGCAGAGCGCCAGGGTGACAGGAAGCCCAGTGCGCCCGAGTGGGTACAGGTAGCAGGCTCGGCCTGTAAGGACACGAGGCTGCGTCTGAGATGGTGCTGTGCTGCTGCTTGGGGACGCCATCCGGACCCAAAATGCCGCAGAGGTGCCCTGGAGCACGGGGGGTGACTCGGCATCTAATCCATGGGGTTCTGTGGGCCCGGCCTCTGCTCTCAGGGCCTCCGGCAGGAAGGGGTGTGGGGGAGAGTGGAGTTCGTGTCTGGAAGGAGAGACCAGCGCAGTGGGGAAAGCCGGGCCGGGGGGGACCCAGGGGCAGGGGTGTGGCTCCGCTCTGCCGCCCCAGTGGCCAAGCCTCTGTGGGGCGCTCAGGCCAAAGTGGCAACGGCGGGGGCAGTAGGGTCAGAGCACCAGGCAGCTCCCACTCTGGTCTCTCTGGTGCCGACTGGCAGGCACGGTGGAAGGAGTCGGCCTTCGGCGCACAGCCTCACGAGTCGGAAAAGCCCGCGCCTGAACCCGGCTCCACCGCCTTCCGCCTGAGTGACTGTGGGCAGCTTCAGCTTTGAAAGCCTCAGTTGTATCATCTGTAGAGTGGGTGGTGTGAAGGATACATGCGTGAGATGACATGCGCAGTAGAGACACACAGCTGTGGTACGGTGACGGCCTGGCCCCGAGTGGGAAGGGGGCGTGATGGCGGTAACGGTGGTGCTGTTACTGACTGTGGACAGGCTACCCTGACCCACTGGTACCTTTGACGCCATAAAGCCTGTCTCATAATTCCTCAGAACAGCAAAAGCAATCAGAGGCTTCCCCGTAACTGTTGAACAAATGTTTACTGTTAGGCCCTGTTCCGAGGACGGGCCAGGCTCTCCATGCTGAAGCGACGGGGCACGCGATTCTGCAGACGGGCTGACGTGCTGAGGGACCAGCGACCTAGGGCCCGGGGAACCCAGCCGCCCACACCCGTGGAGTCACCTCCTCTCTGCTGCTTGGGCCCTCTCTCCCTAAGTCCCTTCCTGTCCAGCACCTGGCCAGTGTGTTGTGTCCTGAGCCATGTCCCCTAAGGGAGGCCCGAGCCTCACGCAGCTCCTAGTTCCAGACCCTTCTCTTTTCCCTGACTCAACCTGCTCCTGGCTGAGTGCCCCCGAGCTGCATGTGGTCAGCGTGTAGACCTAGGTGTAATCCAGACTTGGGGATATTCTGTGGGCCTCGCAGTCCTGCTCTTAAACTTGAGCTCTCTGCCCTGGCTGGTGTGGTTCAGTGGACTGAGTGCTGGCCTCCGAACCAAAGGGTTGCTGCCGGTTCGATTCCCAGTCAGGGCACACACCCGGGTTGCGGGCCAGGTCTCCAGCAGGGGGCATGTGTGAGGCAACCACACACTTATGTTTTTCTCCTCTTCCTTCCTCCCTTCCCCTCTCTAAAAATAAATAATAAAAATGAAAAAAACCTTTGAACTTGGGCGTGCCCTCCCTACGCCGCCCCAGGCAGCTCAGCGGAGTCAGACCTGGGCGCTGAGAGGGGCAGTACTAGAGACTGTGCGGATGACCTGTCCTGACGAACCGTCTGTCTCACCCACACGGCCCTAGGATTACATGCAGAACATCCACGGCAAGGAGATTGACCTGCTGCGGACGACGGTGAAAGTGCCAGGGAAGCGCCTGCCCCGAGCCACGCCAGCCACAGCCCCAGGCACCAGTCCCCGGGCCAACGGGCTGGCCTCCGAGCGGAGTAACACGCAGCTGGGCGGGGGCACAGGTGAGGGGGCTGCTGAGGTGGGGCGGGGGCACGGGGGGAGCGTTGCCTTTTCTTCCCGGAACAGTGGGGGCTGCTGTGGTGCACCCTGGGGAAGGCGTTGGGGGTTCCGCTCTCTGGCTGCGTCCTGTGGAGGAAATGCTGCCCCATGGCATTGGGGCAGCAGCCGATGCACAGCCCCGATGATGATTTGGAGGTCGGAACGGGGCCAGGTGGCCTCATGCTGACAGGTGGCATCAGTGGTCCCAGGACCATCTCTCGAGGCAGGTGACAGTGAGGGCAGGACCTTGTGCACGCACATGTGGCTGGTGTCTCAGCCCAGCTTGTCGTGTGGGGATGGAGCGCCTAGAAGGGGACAGAGTGGCCTGGCGCCTACCTGGCAGGTGTCCTCAGTCTGCAGTGAGAGGCGGGGTCTTTGCTCAGGGAGGACCGAGGTGGCGAGAAGCTGGTGGCCGGCAGGCGGAGAGAAGAGCTAGAGCCCGAGACAGTCTGAGCTTGAGGTGGGGCAGCTTTTCCTTGGCCAGTCCTTCCTTTTCCAGAGATGCTGCGGGTTCGGGTGAAAAACACTGTGCTCCTCCTCAGGCCTCCCGGCTCTGAGCCACACTGTTCTTTGGACGGCTGTCCCTCCCATGCTCAGTCCCTTCGCCCCAGATCTGCCTTGGCGTTTGGACCCTTCCTCCCCAGACCTCATATCCCTTCTGTTGTCCTCGATAACCAGATATGGTTTTCCCCTGACCCGGAAACTGCTGCTTAGACATTGTCCTGCCCTCCTGGGTGCTGCCACTGTGTCCCTGCCCCGGGAGGTAGCTCTTAGCATGGGTGTGCTGCATTCCACACAGATGCAGGCTGTTCCTGTGGTCACAATGGACGTTCAGTGGACGGGGCTGGGGTACTTAGTCCCTAGAGTGGATGGAACAGACCCCAGAGAAGCACCCCACTCAAAATGCTAACAGGAGGCCCTGCATTGAGAAACTCGGGATTATGGAAGGTGGGCGGGGCGAGAGGCCTGGGCAAGGCGCCCGCCCTGGGCTGTGTTTTCAGCTGGAGGCACTGGGAGAGGTGGAGGGGAGGCGGGCACTGACATTTGTTGAGTGAGGTGAACCAGGTACAAGGAAGTCTATGTCATGCCCCGCTTCCCAACTCTGTGAAGTTGAGATCATCACCCCCATTTTATGGATGAGGAAACGGGGCTCAGAGAGGTTAAATATCCGGGCTGGAAAAGCTGAGTTCTGTCCTCTCCCACCCTGAGCTGAGAAAGCAGCCCTTGGGCTGTGCAGAGGGAGACCCTAGTGGACGTGGGAAGAGAGGAAGCTACGGCAAGAAAGATAGGTACCCGTCCGGGCGGGGTGCCTCCCGTAGGGTGCACCAGGGCAGGGTCTGGCTTTATGGCAACCGCAGGAGGCCATGTGCAGCCCCCGTGCTGTGAAACCCCTGGCGTGTAGGGGAGGGGCTGGAGGCCGGCCAGGGCCCTGAGAACTCTCTCAGAGCCGATTGGGGACAACGAGGGTCAGCCTCCGGTCAGGCTCAGGGTTTCCCGCATCAGACTGGAGGAGGCGGAGGAGTATCAGTGCCCCAGAGGGGGACCTTTCTTTCAAGGCAGGTAGCATGAGAAGCTGGGCTGTTAACCGCAGAGGGAAACAGTAAGACCCTTTGTCCAGTCACGTTCCCGGGCCCCAGTAGCCCTCACCTGGGGGGCAGGAGTGGCCAACAGAGGAGGAAGGTGCACGCGCCACACCCACCCGCGTCATTACCAGCGCCCACACACCCTCGCCGACATGCCCAGAACACGCGCACCGACGCTTCCCCAGCCCGAGTCCCCTCTGCTGTGCGCTGACACCGACCTCGTGCACACTCACACATGTCTCCTGCTCACCGGGCGATGTTAACATCTCATTATCTTTGTTACTGTAATTACATTATCCGCTGCTTTATGCAGAATTATCCTCCGAGGACTAATTGATGGCTCCATGTTTAATTCATTAATCATTAGCATCAAATTCGACAATTACAGTGCACACTGATTGTGGGATTGCAGGCGTAATGAGGGGAGAATTAACAAAGAAAAGGGAGAGTACTTTTCCTCCCTGGGGTTTTGGGTTGGGGGCTTGGTGAAGAAGGTGGGCCTGTGCTCTTTGGGTGGGGCTGGGGACGAGGGAGTAGGATTTGGAACCTGGGAGGCGGGAGATGTGAGGTGTCTGAGGAATTAGGGACTGAGCTGCCCCTCCGGAGAGTTTCCTGACCCTGAGAACGGCTGTTTGCAAGGGCCTGAGGCCGGAGCGGGAAGGGGGCAGGATTCTGAAGGAAGGTCAGCATGTGGCCCAGAGGGGACCAGAACGGGGTTGACTGGCTGCGGTCTCAGTGCCACGTGTGTATTAGTAAGCACCTACTGTGTGCCTGGTCCTGCCTTGGCATTAGGACAAATACAAGAGAAACACAAAACTTGCCCTCCACCTTTCAGGGGCATGTAGTCCCCAGAGGAGTAGGGGTGTCTGGCCTGTTCCTTTACCTTCTAGTGACTTCAGTGCTGAGCTTCCCACCCCTAGGCCTCCCGAAATTCAGCCCATGTGCTCGAAGGGCTGGTTTGAAACCCATGTTTGCTGCTTGCTCTCTTCAGCTTTGTCCAGCTTGCAGGCCCCTCTCTGCTTCTTCACCACCCTCCAACCCCTGGCCAGGTCCTCTGCTTTCGGTCAGACGCCCTGGGTGTGGGCTGCCTGTCCTGAGACCTCCCACGGCCATTGCCTCCTGGCCTCCACCCCACCGTCTTAGGTGGACTGAGGCGAGAGGGCAGCCTGGGCCCTTTAAGTGTCATGGGCTGTGGGGGCCCATGGCCGTCCCTGCAGTCTCTCCACTGGTGCCTGGGGAGGGGGCAGGGCGTTCGGAAGGTGCTTGCAGCCCTGCCTGCCTGCCCAGCGTGGCTCTCCTGGAGCCTTCGGTTCCCCTCGCCTCTGCCGTTCTTCCCTGATGGGAAACGAAAGATTAATTTTTTCCAGCCCAACAGGATAATTACTAATACTAATTAGACATAATTACTTGAATTTGATACACTTATTTCTCCTCAGAATGACAGCAAATCTGAGGCAAAGCGAGTGGCATATGTGGACCAGAATGTGGGGTTGCAGGGTCCTGACCAGAGGGAGAGGGGCCAGGGTAACAGCCCGATGAGATGAGGGGCTCTGCAGTGATGGGGGTATCAGTACCCCTCCCCTCCACACTTACGGGTCCAGGAGAGGGACGAAAGTGTGCACCTTCACGTGCATGGGGAGAGGAGGGGTGTGAAGTCTGGGAACGGCTGCCTCCCAAGGCAAGGAGGGCCTGTGTGAGGCCGCTGGTTCTCCAATAAGCCTGGCCTGGTGCCCGGGACCCAAGAGCCCCCCACTTCTGGTCAGTCTCCTGTTGGAATGTCTCCAGCTGTTCAGGAAAGCCTATATGCACCCCTCCCGTGGCCTTCCCTCCAGCCTGACCCTCCCCCCCCCCCCGCCAGGCGCCCCCCACTCGGCCAGCCGCCCCGAGGGGCTGCACCAGCGCTCCTGCTCCGTTTCCAGCGCAGACCAGTGGAATGAGGCCGCTGCCTGGCCCGCAGGTATGCAGGACAGGGCCAAGGGACTGGAAGGCGGCCGCGCAGTGTTTTTGGCCTGGGTGGCTGTGATTGGATGGTGCCCAGGCTGGGGGAGGGGCTCTAATGTTCCTCCAGCCTCCGCTGGCGCTTCCATCCTTTGGTCCCTCGTCAGCGGCCAGGCGCTGGAGACCCTCCCTCTGCAGCTTCTCTGCCCGCCCGCCACTGTCCCCAGGCGGCGCTGGTGGTGGCTCCCGCATCTCCATCAGCCCCCCGCGCCGCCAGCTCATCAGCCTCACCGCAGGGGGACGGGGAAGCGGGGCTGAGTAGGGAGGTCGAAGGCTGGGGGCTTTAAACACGTTCTGAAGGCGGCAACTCGCCTTCAGGGAGAGGGCATCCCAGCAGACAGGGTCCAGGGAGTGGTCTGGACAGGTAGTGTCCCCACCCCCGCCGGCTGCTCTCCTTGGGTGGGTTCAGGCCCCGCCCTGTCCACAACCACCACCTTCTCTCCCCCCTCCCACCGTCCTCTGTCCTCAGCTCTCCATCGTCCTCCCCCTTTGTGCATCTTGTACCTCTCTTGCATCCTGACTCTCCCTCCCCGTGCTCCTTCTCCTGCCCCTTCCGCCGGTGCCTGCACATGGTCCTGCGCGTGTCCCACCCCTCTCTCCTTACTCCCACCCGAATGCTAACCCTTGGGCGCAGATCCTGGGAGTTCCGAAGGCTAACAGGAAAATGGGCGCAGCTATGCCCTCCTTTCCTAAGTGAGGGGTGAGACTGCAGGGTACTCGGACCTGGGCTTCAGTATCCCAGGCAAACCTGCCCCTCGCACTGCCCCCCACTGGGCAGTGGTGCCTGGGCAGTAACTTTTCTTCCTCCATTGGCCTCCCAAAGGCTTTTCACGGGGTTACCCAGGCCAGACTACCCACCCCAGAGAAGTCCTGCCCTCTATTCCACCCTGGGCCTGAGCTCTGACCCAGGAAGGTGCTGGGCACTCACTGCACAGGGAATCCGCCCAGCTCCCGACCCAAGTCCAAGCCCCCTGGGGAGTGAGTGTGCAGGGCTTGAGAGCAGGATCTAGGGCCCTTCCCAGGTCACCGTCCCTAAGGCCTGTGCTGGCCTTGGCGGGGCCCCTCTGTTGAGTCTGGAAGGAGGAAGGCAGGGAGGGAGGGAGCGTGTCTGCCTCTAATGAAGTTTGACATTTAGTGGTGAGCGCTGGGTGGGGTGTGGGAGACGGGAGCTTGATTAGCGCGCTCTAATTGACAGTAATTAGGCAGCTCCCTGATTGTTTCTAATTCTGCTATTAATTGTGAGGAGCGGGGAGTGTGATTGAGGATAAATTTGGTGCGGAGCTTCTGGGGCTTCAGCTCCCTGTGAGTTCCCTGGGCCACCTTCTACCCCTCCAGGCTGCAGAAGCCGTGTCCTCCTCCTCTTCACCCTGCTCTGCCTGACCTTCCTACACTCTCCCCACTTCTCCTCCACTGAGGCTGGCCGGGCAGAGGCCCTCCTAGGGATGTTAGGCAGGACCCATGCTCTGCCCCCACCCTCCCCTCTGCCCACACTTCTCCAACTTTCCCCTCCCCAGCCAGTGGCTCAGCTGAGGTGCTCAGCTCCAGCCCCAAACTGGATCCTCCCCCATCTCCCCACTCCAACCGGAAGAAGCACCGGAGGAAAAAGAGCACCGGGACCCCCCGACCAGACGGCCCCAGCAGTGCTGCCGAAGGTTAGGGGGACCCGGAGGGAAACTGGGCACAGGAGGTGGGCAGCGGGACTTGGGGATAGTAGCCCATAAGTATTACGGTAAAGGCTTTTAGTAATAATTGTCAGTAAAAGTAGTTCTGCAACTTCTGTGGTAATCCAGACCCAGTGGCTTAGAAAAGCCCCCTTTTCTGCCTAGCTCAAACCCTTTCCGTGACGATGTGAGCTTGCTTCTTTTATTCTCGTAGAAGGTAAAAGCACATAGGCAGCCACTCCAAAGCTCTTCCAAGACTTTCGGAAAAGCAGGGCTATGTTTTCTGTGTCTCTTGTATCACCCATTGTGTTTAATGAGTGCTGGGCACATAATAGGTGCTTAATATATGTGTACCAATGGGCTGAGTCTCTCCTCAGTCGGCTATAGGCTAAGGGGATTCCAGCTGCTTGTTTTTCCATAGGCCCTCTGGAATAATCCTTTGTCTATCATAGTGTCGCTTCTCTGGTTTTCCCTCAAGTGTCTTCAAAATGTTCCTCTGCTCAGTGGTTGGAGTCTCTGGATGTTGACACCTAGTCGGTCATTTCTGTTCTGATTGTCAAGGTTAGGGATGTGGTTAGGTGGGTGGAGACCGTCTCCATGGGAACACGTTTCCCAGCCACCCTGTGATACGTGATGCTTAGTGTTTGTGGCATGGGGTCCACCCATCCTGGGGAACTGAGCCCCAAATGATGGCATTGAGGTCATTCGGAGGCTGTGGGGAAAGCAAGGGGAGGTGGACTTGTGAGCCTGAGGAGGGAAAAGGTGCCAATTTTGTTTCTGTTAAGGGCGCCCTCAGAATGGGAATCCAGCAGGGGAACTTCTGGGGGATGTCAGTGTCGTTGAGGTGAGAGGCTGCTCTGGGCAGAACATGTGGCTCAGGCCTCTGTCTAGGGCTCAGCCTTGGCCTCCAACAGGTAGCTGACTGTCTCTCCAGCGCCCACGACACAGTCACACCACTTGTTAGGAACTGTTCACCCGTGGGGCGGTGACCACTGGGAATGAGATTCATATGGCTATCTTCTGGGGGAGCAGGACTGGACACAGGTTGACCACATCAGTTGGGGTCACAGTCCAGCCCACAGTGCTGTCACTGCAGATGTCCTCAGGTGCCTGTCTGCTCACACACCCTGGTTCATGGAGAAAACCTCTCCTCTCCCCATCACTTGCCCTTCCTGCCTGTCTGTGCCAGGGTAGTGGGGGAGGGGCCCAGCTCCCAGGAGCCCCACGCTGACGCCGTCAGGAATATTGGGTTTAATGAGCTGCAAAATGAGGCGGCTGCAGCTGACATGTACGGATGGTGCCCACGCCCGCCTCCCCCACCCTCTCCCAGCACTGCCTCCTAGCACCCCATCACATCCACCAGATACTCAGCTCTTCTTGCTCCAGGAAGCACCCTGATTTCCAGACCCATTGCCAGCAGTGCCGGTGATGCCGAAACCTTGTGCCCCCATCTGGTGTCACTGAGGCTCCACAGGTGGTTAGGAATGGGAGGGCGTGGCTCCAGCTGTCGCAGGTTCACTCCCCCCCACCCCACCTCTGCACTTTGCCCTGGGGGGCACAGCCCTTGGGGCTGGTGTGGAGGAAGGAGGATGGGTGCCAGGAAAGGAGGAGGCGAGTGGAGTTGTGGCAGTGACATGTCTGGGTGTGCCTGCCGAGGTGCCTGCTGTGACGGCGGTGAATGCTCTGTCCCCCACAGAGGCAGAGGAGTCCTTTGAGTTTGTGGTGGTGTCCCTCACGGGGCAGACGTGGCACTTCGAGGCCTCAACGGCGGAGGAGCGGGAGCTGTGGGTGCAGAGCGTGCAAGCCCAGATCCTCGCCAGCCTGCAGGGCTGCCGCAGCGCCAAGGACAAGGTTGGCGTGGAGACCTGAGTGGGGTGGGACCCGAAGGTGGCCTCATGACTGACCAGCCACCTCCTGTCTCTCCCACTGTGGCAGACTCGGCTGGGGAACCAGAATACAGCGCTGGCTGTGCAGGCCGTCCGCACCGTTCGTGGCAACAGCTTCTGTATCGACTGTGATGCCCCCAGTGAGTGGCAGGGCTGGGGTGTGCAGGGCCCAGCTTGGGGGCAGCTTAGAGAAGACTCCACAAGCTCTGTAGAGAAGCCTTGACAAGAAGCTTCCAGGAGGCCTGGCAAGAGTGCAGGGAGGAGCAGGAGGACTCTGCTGGTGGCCTCACTGGGAGCCTGTGAGCTTCACTGTGCTTCTCCTCCTTCCCTAGATCCGGACTGGGCCAGCCTGAACCTGGGTGCCCTGATGTGCATCGAGTGCTCGGGGACCCACCGACACCTGGGGGCCCACTTGTCCCGGGTCCGTTCCCTTGACCTCGATGACTGGCCACCTGAGCTGCTGGCTGTCATGACCGCCATGGGCAACGCCCTGGCCAATAGTGTCTGGGAGGGGGCCCTGGATGGCTATGCAAAGCCAGGGCCTGATGCCTGCAGGTGAGTGGATGGGACCCTGAGGCCGACCAGGGAGGGAGATCAGTGTCCCTGTATGGGGAAGACTGGAGACGGTGCCAAGTGGCTGGGACAGTGCTGGAAGGGTTAAAACTGGCCGTGGCTGTGTTGGCCCCCTTGGGGTTCCCTTCCCCCTCCCTGCCTGTCACTCAGGCGCCTCACAACAACAGGCCCTTTCTGAGTTGTTATCAGCAGGTCAGGGGGCCAGCAGGAGGCGCATGCGCAGGGCCCTATCTGCACTGTGGTGCGAAGGCCCAGCCGGAGCTCTGAGATGGGGAGAATGGGTGGTAGATAGGGTTGTGGGGGGCCCCGGCACAGGCCCCCTCCCCCTTTGTTCTAGCAGGGCCAGATAAGCCGCCACACGAGCCCTGCCTGGAGTCTTCCTGCCCTTGCGGCCCCTATGTCCCCGCTGTCCCCAGGGGCCTCCCTTCAGCGTTCTTTCCTTTCAGCTTCTTCCGCACCCTTTGCATTGCCCGCTTGTCCCTCTGCCCGCCCTCTCACTCTTAGGCTTCTCTCTTCTCTGCCCTGACACTTTCTCCCACTGTTTCTTCCTACCTCTCCTTTGGGTGTTGATGTCCTTTCCTGACCACCGCCCCTGGCCCTGCCCTCCCTCGCTCACACCTCGATGCACCTGTGCTCTCAGAGAGGAGAAGGAGCGCTGGATACGGGCCAAGTACGAGCAGAAGCTATTCCTGGCCCCACTGCCGAGCTCGGATGTGCCACTGGGGCAGCAGCTGCTCCGGGCCGTGGTGGAGGACGACCTGCGGCTGCTGGTGATGCTTCTGGCACACGGGTCCAAGGAGGAGGTGAACGAGACCTACGGGGATGGGGACGGGCGCACAGCTCTGCACCTGTCCAGTGCCATGGCCAATGTCGTCTTCACTCAGCTGCTCATCTGGGTGAGTCCCTCCTGACTTCTCAGCCTCACCCTTGTAGGTTCCTCTGACCTGCCCTGACATCCTTTGTACCTCAGCCCTTTGAAAGCCACCTCCTTTTGCTCCCCAAGAACCCATCTTTCCTGCCACATCATGCCAACTGCGAAAATGTGCTTTCTTCTGCAGTATGGGGTGGACGTGAGGAGCCGGGACGCCCGGGGCCTGACCCCGCTGGCCTACGCGCGCCGGGCTGGCAGCCAGGAGTGCGCAGACATCTTGATCCAGCACGGCTGCCCGGGGGAGGGCTGTGGCCTAACACCTGCCCCCAACAGAGAGCCGGCCAACGGCACCAGTGCCTCTGCTGAGCTGCACCGAAGTCCGAGCCTCCTCTAAGGCCCAGGAAGAGCACAGCAGGACTCCATACCCTGGGCACTTTCCTGCCTACAGGCACTGGGGGAAACAAAGGCACAGAGACTGAGTCCTAGGGACACACGGAAAGGAAGAGGGAGAGGAACCAGGAAAAGAGCTAAATGAGGGCAGATGGATCAGAACAGAAGTGCGGGACTTGAACTGCAGCCTCAAGGGAGTGGAGGGGCCCGGCCTTCTGCCCAGCGGTGCCACTGAGAAGGGACAGGACCCTTGGAGGTACCTGTGAGGAGAGGGGAGCAGGACCTCTCCCTCCTCCAGATTCCTACCCTCTCGTCCCAGCCCCCTGCGAACTTTCATCCCCAAGTGGAGCCTGGATAGGGCGGGGGTGCTGGGTGAAAGACAAGGGGGTGATCTGTGAGTCCCATGTAAATTTGTACATTGGAGTATTTATGTTTGTGTACATATTTGGCGTGTGTGTATGATGAGCCAATAAACCTGACCGTGTGTGGCCTCGTTTTCTCCTTTTAGATCTCTGCCCTCCCCAGCTGCCCCCCGCCCCACCTCTCGGTCCTGTCTCCTCACCTTCGCTCTGTCCCCCAGGAGTGCTGCCCCTCTTGTTCAGGCCGAGGCCTCGCTGTCTTTCCTCAGCCTCCCATGTGCGTCTCTTTCTGCCCTCGCTTGCCGGGGGGTGTAGTTGAGTTTGTCAGCAGCACTGGCCGTGAACCCAGGCGGTGTGGAGCTCTGGAAGCTTCCTGCTGCCTTTTCTACTCACGCCCCCGCCCCCAAAACTTTTCCAGCTAGTCGTCTTTTGATCAGTATTCTATTTAGTAACCTCCTGCCATGCCCTGTACTGGCCAGAGTTCACCCGCAGAGCAGGCATAAGCACTGTCCCCCTTCCTAGGCATCTGGGAGCTGACCCACACCGCCAGGGGCACGGGGAGAGCTCTGAGGGTGCCTCAGGGGGCGACTAGGTGCTGGCTAGGGCAGCACTTCCCTCTGGACTCGCACCTGAGCTTTGCTTTTGGGAAAAGGGGAGGCAGTCGGTCACTGATGGCAGAATCCAGAGCCCCTGCTTCCCTCTCTGTCCCTTAGTGATGCTAGAAAGATGGAGGGGAAACCCCTCTGTCCCTGTTCTTGAAAGATGAGAACTTGCTAAGTTAGGGTCCCTAACTCTGTCCACTAGCATTTCCTGATTTGCTCATGGAAGTCCAACCTCTGTAGCTTCCCCCACAATACATACCCTTCTAGAACCATCGTATTCTTTCCTGCCTCCTCCACTGTGCAGTGGGCCTTCTCAACCAATCTCACTTTATAACAGACGAGAATTTGGTATCTCAGGCTCCGTAAACGCTGTGATGGGGAGAAGGAGAGACCGCAATTAATGCCACGAGAAACAAATGGAAAAGTGTCTGGGATGCTGCACAGTGGCTGAGCTGCATTGGGCTGCTGTGTCCTCTGCACAAAGATGATGAGCTCACAGGTGATGAGGGTGAGCCCCCGGCCTGCCCAGTCACCCACAGACTGCCAGCGTCCACCTAGGTAGACGGGGCCCGGACACACCCAAGCGAAACCAGGGCCCAGCACTTCATTTCCCCTCGTAATACAGATGGGAATGGAACCGCTATCCTGAAGCCTGCCGACCCTTCCAAAGAGAAGAAAGCAGAGATGACAAAGCTTTCCTGTTTAATGGGTAAAGGGAGAAGTGCTGTGGCAGGAGCAGGAGGTCTGGAGGTGCACAGGGCAGGCCCCAGGCTGGGGGCGGACAGACGCGGAGGTAGCTTACAGGGGAGGAGATGGTGTGTGCTGAGGAGTTTCTAAGGAGGCCAGTGACGGTTCCGTTTTTGCTTCTTTGCACGTCCTTGTATTACAGACAGGCGGCAGTAACCGCTTCAGGGCCCCAAGATGGAGCTAGACTCTGGCTGAGGATCGATGAAACAACTTTCCCAAGCCCTCTCACGGGTGCAGACAAACAGAGGCAGATAGATCCACATATATACAAACTTTACACAAAATAAATAAGGAGCTGTGGGTTTGGCTAGCCATCACCCTGGATCCCTCCCACCACTGTTAGAAGTGATTCCGGGAGCCTTTGGCATCTTAGAGCCCACCCCCTTCCCCGGAGTCCACCTCAGTCCCAACAGCTCCTGGGCAGTGAGGACCCAAGCCCCCTGAAGCCACAGTCCTGAGGGTCTCTGGTAAATAGGCTCAAGGCCAAGCGCCCACAGTGCAGTTGTCAGGAGAGCACGCCTGGAGCCAAGTGCATTGCCACGGGATCCCCCTCCAGGGCGGAATCACAGTGGTCGCCCATCTGGTCCCAGGGCCCTCACCCAGTCTCAGAGCAGGCCGAGGAGCCGGTCCTTTGCCTTCCCAAGTCCTCGGGGCCCCTTCAGGGCCGGGCCCCCTGTTCCATCTGTTGGTGCTGGCTCCGCACAGCGAACCTGTTGACATGCACGGGTATGGGCACAACAATCTTGGGGTTCCTGACGGGCTCCCCAGAGCGGCTGCTGACGTTGCCAGCTTTGATGCGCTTCCACTTGGCCCTGCGGTTCTGAAACCAAATCTTGACCTGCACCTCACTGAGCTTGAGGGCGTGGGCGATCTGGGAGCGCTCTGTCAAGCTCAGGTACTTCTTGCAGTGAAACTCCTTCTCCAATTCCAAAAGCTGTTCACTGGTGAATGCTGTGCGGCGCCTTCGGCTCTTGCCCCCAGGAGCTGCGACTCCTGCTGCCACTGGGGCTGCCTCCTCGGCTCCAGTCCCCAGGCTTCCCTTTAGCTTCGGTTTAGGTCCCAGGAGAACCCCCGGACCCCCTGCCGAACTGTCCAGGAAACCGTCGTCCTCACTGTCACCGCCCGAGCCCTCTTCCTCCTGTTCGCTGCCTGCAGGGTCTCTCGCTGGTGCCTCCAGCTTCTCCTCATCTGAGCTGTACACCTTCCCCTCTGTGGGGAGCGAACACCAGTGGACAGGGAGGGAGAAGGCAGGAAAAGGCAGGTTGGAGGAAGCACATGGAACCATGACCAGGCATGGCCAGAACGACAGCAGTAGGAGACAGGTGTGGAGCGGATGAGATGCGGCGGGAGAAGAAAGCACATCCAGGGTGAGGGGTAGGGAGGAGGTTCAGGGAAGACAAAGAAATGGGAAGAAAGGTATTAACCAGCACAGACTTGACTACAGCGAAGTGAGGCAGGCAACATGTGTCTGTCAAGGGGCACCGTTTCCGGCCCCGCGTCCCCTCAACATTCCCACACCCCGCCGCATTCTGCCATCCCCACTGCCTTCCCAGCTTTCTCCTAACCCAGACCACGCGGCCCCAGGCTCCAGAGTGAAGCAGGGCGGGATCTGGCTCAGGATCCTTCCAGTTACTGTGACACCAGTGAGCAATACAGAATTTACTTTTGCAGGATGGGGTTGGGGGTGGGGCTGCCGGTTCCTGCTACTCTCCTAGGAGTCCTAACCAGACACAGTGGGCAGAGCTAGGTGTTGACCTCTCTTCTGTCTCTAAATCTCATTTCCAGTTGGGAACTTCAGGGTTGATTCCTCATCCTCACCCCTAACCCCGAAATCTGGGTCCAAGAAATATTATCCAAGGGTCTGGGAGCCAGGTTCCCTTACTGCACTCTCTTCACAATTTCGCCTTAAGCAGATCATCCAGCCCACAGTTGGGACCCCTCCCTGCCACACGCCACCATATCAGTGACCAGAGTTTCTTCAATTACTTAGCCCCCTTGTGCCCCTTTTGGTTCTTCTCCTCATTTAAAAACAATGTCATTGCTTTCCCACCGTCCCTCTTTCCCAGTTAAGGTTGCCGAGAAGCACAAACAGCTGCCTTCTGCTCAAGTTCAGAATTCTGAGGACCCTGCGCTTGATGTCAGCCGGGAACACGGAGGGAATATGGGAAGAAATAGAAATGCGGCAAGGGAAAATATAGATGGTGAAAATTTTTTTGACTCATTTAGTAGATTACTACTGATTATTTGTAATCACAGCCATATAAACATTTTAACCCATACATAATTCTAAAATTTCATTCAACCATTGGTTTTATTCTTCTTATCCACTGATATTTTTATTCTTCTTACAATTGCAAGTAATGTATTACAAATGTTTTCAGTATTTAAATTTTACAAAAATCTCTTGTTTTCTGCCAAAAGGGCCAATAAAGAGTGAAACAACAACAACAAAAAAAAAGAAAAAGAAAACTAACAGGAAGGAAGAGAAAATAAATAATCTGTAAACTAACAGCTTCTTATCCACAGAGTTCAATGTGTAAAGGCTGGGGGGCCTTCACAGATGTGGGGGTGCATGTGCCCACGCACCTACATGTCCCATGTCCCATACAAGCACACTCCAAGGTTGAGCATACAACCCAGAGTCAAATAACTTGAGGGAGCCCTGAAGTCCTTTACGAGGAAAAGAGGTGTGCACCGCATACATGGCTCTAACCCCCAGCACCCAGAGCTTCCCGGGCGCTCTCCTCCGACCTCTCCCCATCTGCCGTCACAAACTTCCCATGCTCCCCGGACCAGCCCAGTAACTTTCAACCCTCTTCTCCACTTTTTCATTGCTTTTCACCAGTCAATTGTCTTCATGCTGTCCCCAACAGCTAGCCACGCTTCATGAGCACCCAGCTCCAAATACTATGACAAGGCGCCCCTCAGGACACTCACCTCTCAGCACCCCACGTCTTCTCCCTTACCTCACCCCTAGCCAATCCCATTTTGTTTTCTGCAAGATTCACATCCTTGTTTTCCTCCATTTCACTAACGGTTTCCCCACATTTTCAACTGTCCACTTCCACAATGCAAACTTAACATGTATCAAATTCAACTCTTTCTCCCAAGCCAGTTCAAACCAAACCTCTGCTCTCTCTTACAACCAGTCAGCAAGTCCTGGTAGTGTTGCTGCCTGTAAAATACACCCAGACCCCGACCCCTTCTCACCACCTCCCCTGTATCCCGCTGTCCAGGTCACCATCATCCCTCCCCGAGTTCATCTACATTTTCTCCCAGCTGGTTTCCCTGCTCTGCCCGCTCCCCCAGGTGCTTCTTTCTGGAATAGTATCCATGCTCCTCACCTAGAGTTTCCACGGGCTCACTTCCTATCTCTGTTTTTAATCACCATTTAAAAAAATAAAACTCCCAATATGCCCTATACCCTGCTTTATTTGTTGCTATAGTACATATTGCCAACCATATTTCATTTTTTTAAATATTTTATTTATTTATTTTTAGAGAGAGGAGAAGGGAGAGAGAAAGAGGGGGAGAGAAACATCCACGTGTGGTTGCCTCTCACATGCACCCCACTGGGGACCTGGTCTGCAACCCAGGCATGTGCCCTGACTGGGAATCAAACTGGCGACCCCTTTGGTTCACAGCCCAGCACTCAATCCACTGAGCCACATTAGATAGGGTAATTTTTTTAACTGCTTCTCTCTTCCTATTAGATTATAAACTCCATGAAGGTAGAGATTGTTAATATATTTTTTTCACCACTGTACCTTCAGCATCTACAA